ACCCTAAACTATGGGATTTATGGTGTATTCCTTATTATGGGTCATGCAGGATTTATATCATCAACCATATGAGTACTATTACTGCACTTCTTGCCTCGGCGGGGCTACCGCCGACGACTGCTTCATAGAGAACCTTCGGTTGGCGGAACGTAGGAAGGGAAGGGTTCAGGGTTTAGGGTTTAGGGTTCAGGGTTTAGGGTTTAGGGTTTAGGTTTTAGCTTTAGGGTTTAGAGTTTAGGGTTCAGGGTTTAGGGTTTAGGGCTTAGGATTTAGGGTTCAGGGTTTAGGGGAAGCTACACGGTTGGTGTAAGGCTTATATAATCAAAGTTTACAGCGCTTAAGGTTTGCAGTTACCCGGCTTAGGGTTTAGGACGGTTTAGGGTTTAGGGTTTTGTCCGCTTAAATCCTATACGACTGGTAGGGTTCACAACGAGAACCTACAGAAAAGTTATGGTGGTTTAAGGTAAACCTCTGGCCCTGGCCCACCGAGGATCTTTGCTGCCCTCACAACAAACAACTAGTTCGTTTGGCATAAACAATCGGAGTCTTATCATAGAAAACGGCAAAACTACGGTTGATGACATAAATCCTGCATTATCCATAATAAGGAATCTACCATCATTCCCATAGTTTAGGGTCCTTCAGGTAATGCAGGATTTAGATCATCAGCAGTACCTACATTCTCCATTGTAGTTCCTGTATCGGGTCTTAGGATCTGAATATAGCATCGGCTGCACCAAAAAAAAGGAGCTGCAATGGAGACTATGACGATAACCATAGGCCCCTAAGTAGTTCCTCTGTATGGTTTATATTTGGAATCCCATAAGGTAATCCCAAAAAGGAACTACTTGGGGGCCTATGGGTAATCGGCAGTTCGAAGAACTCTGAAAGCCGAGGATCTTTCCTTTGCTCCTCGGAGGTCGCCTCGGGAAACGACAAGATCAAGAGCTGCAGATCCACGGAGGCCGGCGTGTAGGAGTCATTCAAGCTCTTCCTGAGGATCCAATTTACCTACCTTAAGGGTCCATGTGCCCAACTAGGAGATACTTTGGCCCCAAAGTACCCAAATAGGGGCTACTTTAAGGCCAAAGTATATACTATTTAGGTACATGGACCCTTAGGGCTACCTCTCTTCTTCAACATGCGGGTCCAAGAAAGTTCAAACTTTGGAGGTTATACCTGTATACCTTGTGATTTAAGGGCCATTACCTGCTGTTCTAGAGGGGTGTGCGCTACAGCGGCCTGCTCCTGGAGCAGCCATGTCTTAGGGTTTACAGGAGCTAATTAACACTTCTCGGGTAACTTCAGGGTTTGTGTGGGCTTCTTGGGGTTAAGGGTTCAGGGGGTTTAGGATGGCTTGGGGTGGATGGGCTTGGTGCTTGTGAAGCAGCCTTTGTCTGCATGGTGGTGGCAGGCCATCTTCCGTGTCCAATCGCCGCTTCAAGGACACTTCGCCTGTGGCAGTGTACTCAGCAGCCGGGGCAGGGAGCTGTCTCTGCTTCTTACCGGAAGCCTCGGAAGACGTTTCAGCCGCAACCTGCACTTCCATCATGGAGTCCAGCATGGCGGCATCCTCCAGAACGCTGCCTTCGTGAAGAAGCTTTTGTCGGAAGCGTGGTGGCAGGCCGTGGTGCTGATGCAATCGCCGTTTCAAGGCCTTCACATCGCCAACCTCCTCAGCAGCAATGCTCGCCAACGCTTCCCCTGAGAGCAGCGTGATCCGCAACATGGCAATGGCTCAATTGACTCCGCAGGCTCGGGGTGTTGCTTCGTGTGCCCTGTCAGTGCTGACATGCTTGTTGCAGGGCCCCAGGTGGGAAGCGGCTGTCTTTTCCGAAAAGAGCCGAAAACCCATCAAATGAAGTGCCGTGTGCACCTGGCTATGTGTCAGGGGCCCTCAGGGGCAAATAGCAGATAGCAATGATCAAGCGAAAGCTGCATTCGAACACAGTCAAAATCAGACACGGAAAATCAGAGACGCAGGGTTATTGGAAGGATCACAGGGGCACAGGAATTACAAAAGACCTGTATAGACCTATTAGAGCCTCGAAAACGCTACAGGTAGAAACTTTAACGAAGCAGATAAAGCTCCTTCGTAAGCCCTCTCAAAAAGCGCTCAGACCCTGAGCACCCTTCTGCGACGAAATGGGCAGCGCACGTCTCGTCATCGTCTTGCTTCGGCGGCCTTAATGACGAGAGGGTCAGTATTTTTTGGTTCTTAGAAGAAGGATCCTTCCTGTACTGTTCAATTACAGTGTATAGTCGAAGTAGACGGTACTTCGGGTCTACAAGTAAATTAATTGGGGGCAGGTGGCGCATCTAGGATATGACTATTTAGGGTCTACGCAATTAATTAAGGGCAGATGGCGCCTGAACTCAAAAAGGTATCGGAATTGAAGACTTAGGCAGGGCTTTGGGGATGGGGGATGCTGGGGGTGTTAGGTTATCCTAATCCCTACCTGGACCCTAAAAAAGAAACTTTTTTCTGGAACCTGTATAGGGAGATCATAACAAGGAACCCTAAAAAGGTAGGTTCTTTGGGTGTCCAGGTAAGGTTGACAGATCACGAAGCAAAGACCGCGGCGCAGGAAAGCGAATGGTAACACTGGAGATGTTGACTTTCTCCTGGCAAGACTCTGGCTATAGATTTAGGGTTTCAGGGTTTAGGGTCTGCACCTCGTTCTGAATCAGGGTTCCGTGTATTGGGTTGGTCCTTGTTGCTATGAACTCGCACCACAATGCTCTTCATGGGACAATCTCGGCCGGATAAATTATGCCCTGTGAGCTTCTAGGTGCTTCGAAACAAAGCTTCAGGAGATCGGCAACTCAAGTGTAGACACGTATATGTGTGTATTAGTATATATATACATACACACACATATAAGCATATACGCTTACATGCTTACACACACATACATACATACATACATACATACATACATACATACATACATACATACATATACATACATATATATATTATATACATACATACATACATACATACATACATACATACAGACAGACATACAGACATGCATACATACATACATACATACATACATGCGTGGCATGGCGTGGCATGGCGTGGCATGGCGTGGCATGGCGTGGCATGGCGTGGCATGGCATGACATGGCATGGCATGACATGATATGACATGACATAATTACATACATACATACATACATACATACATACATACATAGATACATACATACATACATACATACATGCTTATATACATACCTACTTACATACGTACTTACATGCATACAAACAGACATACAGACACGCGTGCAGCGCACGTACGTACATACATGGATACCTACACGTGTGAATGGTGCAGCATGTGCATTCTGCAAGATAGGACCAAACCTGTTCAGCCTCGCCAGCACCAGTGGCACTCGCTAGTGAGCCAGGGAAAAGCTGAGTCAACACCGAAACCACAGAAACATGTGTGGATCTTTCGGTCCTCAAGGACCAAGTGACCCTTAAAATCTGGATAATCGAGACTTAAACCCTTGCACGGTGCATTTCGTCTTGAAGTTCAGTATAGGACTGCACGAGCTGTGCGTGTGTGATTGGGCGTCGATGTAGCTTAACCGAGCTCAAGATTTCGCAGGACGTCGCAGATGTGATGGGTTCTGAAACCGAATCCCCGCACAAGCAGGCCAGCGATATCTCTGCAAATTCTCGAAGCTGTCGGCTGTATCCCTAGACCCTCGGCCCGGAACTATAAATTATAAAATCCTACGCCAAGCTCGGGCATGCATGGCATCCTTGAAGACAACCTTGATAATCATCTGGGGGTCTGCATCTGATGACAAGGCCTGATGCCGGTGCGTTGCTTCACGTATGAGGTTTAGAGCTTAGCTTGGGTTTGAGGGTTTGGGGTGTGGGGATCTAGGGTTCTATTATGTTCTGACTTAATACTTCTAGGGCTTTGCAGGAAGTTATACCAAAACTACTTTCTCTAGAACTACAAAGATTTAGGCCCCTATTTTCAAGGAAACGATCCATCTGGAGTAGAATCTCGGTAAATTCTAAACCCCCAAACCCGAAGGCCTGTGTAAAAACCTGGACCTAGTCTAGGGCCATCCGCCGTTCGGCTCGGCTTAGGGTCTAGGGCTTACCCTAACCCTCCAGGTACCTTCTATATAGGGCCCTAGGGGCTCTAGTACCCTATGTAGTAGGTCATGGGGGGTCTAGGGTTCAGGATATAGGACTTAGGTGCTTAGGGTTTAGGGTGTGGGGTTTAGGATTTAAGGTTTAGAAGGGTCCAGGGCTTTGGGGTTCAGGGGTTTAGGGTTGGAAGGTTTAGGATTTAGGGTGACAGCCTGACATCACAGTCTTCTACGACTACTAAACCGTTTAGGGCTTCTAGACTCTATGGAGGGCAGACAGCACTCGCACAAAAAGCTGGCCAAGAAGGGCTTAGCGTTTATGGCTTCAGGGGTTGACACTTCACGCTTTAGGGCAGTGTCAAGCTCTGGCTTTCGGCATCGTGTAGCATGAAGGAGCCCCTGCGACCCCAAGCACTCTACTGTCTACGGTAACCCTAAACGATAAACCCCGAACCCTGAACCCTCGACCCCCAAACTACTACCTAATGCCTGCTTTGCAGCACCTTGTTATTGGATATAGCCTTTGGCATGGTCAGGCCTTTATAACAAGAAAGCGGGCTAAGGAATCATTCAATGTTGATTGCTGTCCGTTGCGGGTGCTGAAACATTCAATTACCCTTAGCTTCCATTGCGGGTGCCTTCTTAAAGAGTGTTGGGGCTGCGAAAACAGATTCATATCGGTTTATACATACACACATACATACATACATACATACATACATGCATACATACATGCATACATACATGCATACATACATATATACATACACATACACATACACATACAGATACATATACACATATACACATATACACATATACATATATATATATGTGCGTATGCGCCTATGTATAAACACCTATCTATCCTTCATGCACCTAAGATGATGAGTATCCCACGTGCCGGCTTCCAGCCTCTATACCCCTGAACATGACACCCTGAGCCCTGACAAAAAACACAAGAACCGCCTCGTCGTCTGCCTTCACGTTTTAAGGTTTATAAGGGTTTAGGGTTTAGGGATACAGTATACTGTAGGTCTTGGGGGCTTAGAAGTGAGGGCACCCTCTCGCTGACTGTGCGCTGGGGGGCGTGGGGAATTTACCCGACAGGCGAATGGTGCCACATGGGGGCATGACAAACTGGACCAACAATGGTACATGACACGCCCAGAGCGCCACAAATGCATCAATAATACCACATCAAAACCCGACAGCTTAATTAGGAAGACCGAAATCTCAAGCTGAACTGAACCCTACACCGAATGCCTTCACACTTCGGAACTTCGGATCATCAACTCCACAACCTTGAACCCCTAAACCTTGCACCCGCACATAGTAGAGGGGCCTTAATATTCAGAATGAGGTGTAAGGTTCATTATCATAAAGCTATAATGAGGAACCCGAGGACTCGCGGAACAAAGTTTGTACATCTTTCCGGGCTCTACCTATAGTAGTCTACAACACTAAACCCTAAACCCTACTAAACCCTAAACCCTAAACCCTATAGTAATCTACAACCCTAAACCCCAAGCCCTAAACCCTAAACCCTACCGTAATCTACAGCACTAAACCCTTCACTCCGATGTATCGGCCTTGTCCTCTGGGTTGGCCTGCAATACCTGTAGGGTTTAGGGTTTCAGGGTTTCAGGTTTCAGGGTTGAGGGTTTAGGGTTTCAGGGTTTCAGGTTTCAGGGTTGAGGGTTCAGGGTTTAGGGTTTCAGGGTTTAGGGTTTAGGGTCTCAGCGGAGTCTCAGAAGCCACGCAGCTGGGGCATAGAGGCGGCTAAGCAAACTTTGTCGTTGTTTTATATATGTGTATAAATAAATAAATATGTATATATATATATATTTTTATTTATATGTATTTATTATATTATATATACATTGTTTTTTTGGGGGGGCAGGGTCGGGCATCCATGCTTTATTGTCTACAGAACGCGACACCATACAGTACATGATGTCGGCATGTACATATACATCTAAATCTTACACATATATATATATACATACATACATACATACATGCATATGTACTATCTTTTTATTTGTTTGCTTGCTATTAATTTGCTTATTCAGATTCTTATTTCTTCATGTATTTATGAATTTATCTATTATCTGTGTGTGTGTTTCCAGTATCTATTCGGAACTCTACTGAATACCGCTGCTAATCGTTCAAGCCTCCACACTACCGTTTTAGGGAAGAGCCTTCGGGCTTAGGGACACATGGTCTGGGAGTGTTTAGAGGCTTTGTACATAAGGTGATCCATAGTTCACCGAAGAGGGTCTACAGTAGGTTCTGGGATCCAGCCTCCGGGAAAAACAGCAATATAGGATCCCGGATACTTAAGACTGGACTTCGGAGTACAAGAGTTAAGCCTGGACACTGAGGCAAGGTCATACCTTGCGATATTGCCGGCCCATCTTTGAGTATGGGAAGAGTCTACGACATGTGGCTGAACACAGGAGCACCTGTAGTAAGGGGGCTTTAATGCAACAATTACAATAGGCTTGGAATTCTGAGGTACATTGATGAATTATCACAACCAAGAGCTCTTAACAAAAAACACTTTTGGTAGTTATTCAGGCACCGATTTGCCACCCATGTT